GTTCAATATTGATAGTTTATTTTTATTGTTGTGTTGATCTTCAGTAATATAATTATAATTAGTCACAATAGTGGAAAGACAATCATTGTCAGGGTGTATATCAGGTTGATGTCAGATGATTTTCCGTAATATATTCAAATCATTGCTGATGGTAGTGCAGGTACAGGTAACATTAACCTATTGTTCATATTTAACATGAAGGGTTGTGGAGTCTTCTGTTCTATTATTTAGGCCTCTCTCTGATATATTTGTCTAGTTCCTCGTTGCTTCTCACCATCAATGCTTTGGCATCCTCTGTGCTTCTGTTGAGTCAAATGAAAATCTTGCAGTTAGACACCCAGGTGTGTGGATTTTTTTGCAGCTTTCTAAGCTGTCTTGCTTTTTTTTTTTTCCAATGTCGGCAACATTTATTTTTTTTTTATATGCCTGGGGCAAAATATAATGAAAATAGTGGAGCAAAATGTAATAAGATTGTAAGTAAAACTAAGAGGGGTTTGTTAAAAAATATATTTATGAAATATACATATGAAAGTATTTTCGTATGGGCACCAGCCCCACCGCGAACCTGACCAAGTAAGCGGGATCAGATCAATGGATTGAAGGATGTTTGTATTTTCTTCCAAATTGTAACTTCATTGCTTATGTCTTATTTCTCACATAAAATCTTTCATTCTAATTTTATTTTAAGATATAAATATGTCAAGGATAAAAGGATTTTTTTTACCTGAAAGTATAACATATAATTTCAGATGGTAAGAAAGATTTCCTGATGAACAGCATCATCAGAATGATCCAAAACCCTGTCAGAATGAATCTGATCATTTCCATAGAGCCGCTTTGCATCAGCAGCTCCATGCTCCAGCGCTCTGGGAGAGTTTATAGTCCTGAGAGTTGAACAATGGAGGACTGACAGCTGTCCTGATAACAGAAGACAGAGAAACATGACTTTGAACAGCATCCTCATCTGGACTCTCCTTTGTCTCACCCAGGGTGAGGAAAATCATTTTCTGTTTTGTAAAAATAATTTATACTTTAGCCGAGTTTCACCTCATAATCTAATCTCCAGTCTTTCTTCTCTCCTCTCAGGGTCTGATGGACAAAATGTTGTTGTGACTCAGCCAGCAGCCAAATCAGTGCAGCTTGGTCAGGCTGTCACTATTGACTGTAAAGCTAACAGAGTAGTATATTGTAGCACACCCTGCCTGTCCTGGTACCACCAGAAAGATGGAGAAGCTCCTAAAGCTCTGATCTATCAGACATCTTCCAGATTTTCAGGAATCTCCTCCAGATTCAGTGGAAGTGGAGCAGGAAATGGAATAGACTTCACTCTGACCATTAGTGGAGTCCAGGCTGAAGATGCAGGAGTTTATTACTGTCAGAGTTATCACAGTGGTGGTGTGTTCACACAGTGAAAACTCATCGTACAAAAACCTCCCTCAGTCTGACTGAACAGAAACTGAACTTCTGCAGCTGGGATCTACTGCAGAGACTGATACAGTTCACTGAACACATTAAACACACAGCATTATATTTAATTAAGCCTTATTAAGACAAAATGTGTTTTTTTCAGATTCAAAGTTGATAAACCCCTAAACTATTGAATCTGAAAATAGATAAATACAATTCCATCTGTCCATTGATAACTGTATGAGCTAAAACAAAGCAATCAGGGTAACCAGTATAACACATTTACACTTTTTGTTTTAATTCTAAAAACAAATATTTATGAAACTAAACATTTAAATTTTGTAGACCAACATCTTGTCCTGTCATGCAGCTCAGTTCTACAAGTTTCTTTAATGTAGCGATAATCAGGCAAGGATGGCCTACTTAATACAATGGAGCCTTATGAGACCATGAACAATGATAACAGAAAAAGGGATTCATTTTTCAAGATTAAAGAAGTCTGATTAAACTCTGAATACAAGAACTAAACAAAACATATTTTATATGTTTTTATAAAGATAAAAATAAACATGAAGCAATCAGTAATGAAAGCAAAGCTACTTTAGTCACTTTTAACGATTTTACAGAATTTATTCCAATCAGCATCTGTATAAAAACATGAACATAAATCAACATTTCTATTCCAAAAGTTTGTATTTATATATTTAACATTAAGTTAATTAATTCACTAATGTGGCAACTTTGATCCGTATAAAATTTAGCAAACAATTTATAAAAAGAATTTTAATTCACTTAATCTGATTTTGGCTTGTTTAATTCGTTTTTTTTTCCATAAATCTAACTTTCTTTAGATACCTTAAACACAGACAAATAACAAAAAAGGCTTTGATGTTGATTCAAAGGTCTTTTTGCTTAAAAGTTAAATTGAACAAAGAAAGGACAGAATGATTAGTTCATAGAGACTTGGAGATTTACTTAGTCTGGATGAGATAAAGGTGTGAATTATTTTCACTCATTTATCAGAAGAGACTTGACATTATGAGCTTTCACCTGGAACAATGTTGTTTAGAGAGAAGTTGGTGTCTTTGTCAGTTTAATGCTGCTTTTAAAGAATCCCAGCGTACATTTAGAGATGTTTTAATCTTTAGAGTCTTTTTTTTATGTAGATATAGCCCTTTTAGATCTTTGGGGAACGTTTTGTTATAATGACTCACAGCAAAATAAACTTTTGACAGGAACACTTAATTTAAGCTAGTTCCCAAAGGTTTGTTGTCTGTTGTTTTCCCTATTCTGCGTTCTCTCATTTATTACGGATTTAACTTCCTTTAGTTGCTACATTAATGTCTAAAAGGTAAAAGATCAACAGGAACATTTTTAAACTTCCTCCATTCAGCTTTCTAATGATGTTGATGTGTTTCAGGAGGAAACATGCTGCCAGTTCAGCTCCATGTGACTGACTCTGTGTGTTTGCATATGTGTCCTCCCTCTCTGCTCCCAGCTGTTAAGAGGTCAGTGTTGATCAGAGGCTGTCCAGGCCTTTTAGAGCCACTGAACCACCAGCAGCACAATGATGATGTTACTGACTCTACTGCTGACCATCCTGGAGCTCCTGGTTCAGGGTGAGACTCTCTGCTCAGAAATTGGTTTGAGGAAGAAATCATCTTCATTAAAATGATGATTCTGTCATCATGGAGAATTATTGAAACAAGATCATAAAGCTTTTGTTAATATTTTCAGTTTATCAGTGATTCATAATTTAACATGATTTCTTACAATTGCGATTTTTCATGTTTTCCAGGTTCATCAGGAAACATCATCCTGACTCAGACTCCTGGATCTCAGTCTGTTGTTCAGGGTCAGACTGTCTCCATCAAATGTAAAACCAGTTCTACTGTTTATAGCCACCTCCACTGGTACCTTCAAAAACCTGCAGAAGCTCCTAAACTCCTGATTTATGGAGCTACAAATCGTCAGTCTGGAGTTCCAGATCGTTTCAGTGGAAGTGGTTCTGGGTCTGACTACACTCTGACCATCAGTGGAGTTCAGGCTGAAGATGCAGGAGTTTATTACTGTCAGCAGGTTTATGACTATCCGTTCACACAGTGATAGAACGTCGTACAAAAACCTCCCTCAGCTGCAGAGGAACTGATCCGACTCAGCAGCTGAACTGAAACACTACAATTTTCCCCAGATGTTACATTCAAAGCTGATATACAAATATGATTTATATATATGATTTCAAACTATTTAACCATTTCCTTTTATAACTGTTTTATTTGTTTTAGATTTTCTGATTAAATCAGACTTTGATAGAGTGATGTGCCTTGAAAAATTGAAAAAGCTGAAAATGTACGTTTGTATAAAAACTTTTTTTTCTGGTCAGCAAGTATTAACAGTGAATCTATAAAATAGTTAAACTGAGCTTGACTTCAAAACTTCAAACCTTTTCTTTAAAAAGCTGTTTAGAGGTCAGTTTTGATCAGCAGTTGTTCAAGCCTTTTAGAGCCGCTGATTCAATGCGATTATGAAAGAAATATA